ATTTGTTCTCTATCGCCCCCTTGAGCGCTGAGTGTTTTAACCGCCACAGTTACGGTGAGTTCGTACAGAAGGGCCAGGCGTCGTCTTTTGCGTTTGCATTGAGTATGTTTTTGACATGATGCCTAAGAAGTTAGCTAAATTACTAAAAAAGGCACAGGAGCGTCCCTAAACCTCAACACTTATTAATAACGCGAAGAACGATGAATAGGCACGATTATGCAAATTGTAAACGCCACTTGCTGCATCGTTTCTAAACCCGCCTCTCTTCCCCACTAACGTTACCCTACACAGATAAAACAGGGCGCAAACAAAAATGAGCTCCCACCATCACTTTGATAATCAGAAGGATTTCAGTCACTCGCTCAGTTTTGAGCCTGTCTCCTCTAAACTTACCTCAGCCTCTCTGTTGGAAGACAGCTCCACATACAAAAGTACAGGTTTACCCGCTCAGGTTTGAGTCTTTATACTCTAAACTTGCGTCAGTGAGGCTTCAGTGAGCCGGAATGAACCTGCGTGGTTGTGCGTACAGCTGTTTCTCGCTAGGCTAACGGTGGAGGATCGGTCGGAAGAAGCTGTAACTGTTATTGTTTCTGGACGCGTCACGTATCTTAGCTCAGGTGCTCCTGCTGGCCGCCACATTCTCTCATTAGCATATTTTAGCATATTGCACTGTGATAGGTCACAGCTCATTCGTGACGTACAAAACTAAGCTGCTACGTAGCTCCACCTCGAATCATGTTTTTTCGATTAACTGACAAAACTGTTTTCAATGGACAAATGTGAACTCTGTGCTTTAGTAACACATTTGATACAGATATCAACCTATATAATCATAAAAAGCCAACCAAGAGGAGTCAAAAACACATTTAGAGTGCAAGGAGTCTTTAACCATTAGAGGAAAACAATAAAGAACAATAATGTCCAGAAAAATAACTTTTATTTAAACATTTATTTTAAAAATCATTTAAATGTGTAGTAAAAAAATAATAAAAAAATAAAAAATAATTGAGGCTTAATTTAAGTAACAACCCAATTTATGGCCGTTTATCAGCCGTGTAAGACATGGCTGTGATGCCAGAGGACATGTTACAAAAGAACCGTCAGTGCTGCTGGAGTTTTTAAACACTGTGTCCACCCACTATCCACTCTATTAGACACTCCTACCTTGTCAGTCCACCTTGTAGATGTAAAGTCAGAGACGATATCTCATCTGCTGCTGCACAGTTTGGGTGGGTCATCCTCTAGACCTTCATCAGTGGTCACAGGACGCTGTTGGCTGGATATTTTTGGTTGGTGGACTAGTCTCAGTCCAGCAGTGACACTGAGGTGTTTAAAAACTCCAGCAGCACTGCTGTGTCTGATCCCACTCAGACCAGCACAACACACACTAACACGCCACCACCACATCAGTGTTACTGCAGTGCTGAGAATGATCCACCACCCAAATAGTACCTACTCTGTGAGGGTCCATGGGGGTCCTGACCACTGAAGAACAGGGTAAAAGGGTGCTAACAACGTATGCAGAGAAACAGATGGACTACAGTCTGTAACTGTAGAACTACAAAGTGCACCTATACAGTAAGTGGCGCTGATAAAATGTACAATGAGCATAGAAACAACCTGATCGGTGTATATCGCTAATTTAGTTGCATCACTCCAAAAGACTGCAGGTCATTCCACACTAGCTCACTTAGGGCCTGTCTGGGCACGTCAAGTTTTCCATGAAAAAAACTCAAGCAGAAACTACTATTTAATATTTGCAACCATGCACAATTTCAGATCTATGCTTAAAGGATATACTTTTTATGTCAGATTGTTCAGTATTTCATCTTTGAAAGTTAGTGTTTCAGTTTTAGTTTTAGCTAAATGTAGGTTTTATGTAGTATTTATAACTATTTTAAGCAGCACCAAGAGGTGAGTTGTAGTATTTGTTTTTTTATTGCACCACTTATTATTAATTCATGAAGGAGTCCTAGCACATCTGTAGTTGTTAACATTAACATAAAAAAAGATTAGTCCCTTTCGTGAAAATGCATGCTCAGTAGGCCTCCAAATGCATTGTAAGCTAGAAGCTATTTTGAAATCATAGTGCAACTTCGCATAATTCATTTGCAGACATGCTAAAAATTTAGGATTGTTGCATAAAACCTTAATTCTTCTGAAAGCTGAAATATGAAATAAATGAAATGTTGTATTTATACCTATTTTAACTCAGTTCAATCATTCTGTAAACAGATAAACTCAACATTTAAGATGTAATTTAGAACCTAAAAGGGCACACTAAAAAAAAACTAAAAAACATAAATGCCACACAACTTTGGAATTTTGCATAGTTGCATGAACTAAATTTTTAAGTTTTTGCTAGAATTTTTTCTGGGAAATCCGTCCTGTAACTGAACTTGCTGCAGGTGAGTTAGTATGGAACAACTCCCATGTGTTTGAGATTCTTTCTGAAAGGTTAGATTTCTCTCACATTCTCAGTGCAAGATCAAGCTGTCTTTTTCACTCACCTGGGATGCACTGTATTCCAGCATATTTCAATATTACATAGGGACTCTTTCTTTTTGATTGATGTCATTTTTATTTTCTCTCTCTCCCTCTCTCTCTCTTGCACACATGTAGCATGCTGGCCTTATCATTCCAGGCAAGAGAGGCGTCCCTGCTCCAGACTCCCTGCATCTCCCTGCGTCTGTGTGGGCTAGATGGGAGGAACAGAAACTGCTGAACAGGAACTGCCAAGCTAAATCCATAGAACAAGGTTTACATAACCTTACATGCACTCGGCAGATCATAAGAGGGGTACTTGAGGCTCCCATAAAGCAGAGTTGGAACAGCACACAAACGGCAATAAATTTTCTTTTATGATGCCAGGAGGATTTGTTGGTATAATGAACCATTGCAGCTTAACGATATTTAGGACGAGAGAACTTAGAATAGAATAAAGAAGCCAACATGTTTACTTTCGTTGGATGGAGGTATTCCCTGATCCCTCTTTATTCCATTATGGCCCAGGATAGACATGAGCAAATGTCAAAAGTTCTTTTTGCCAGGCAGTTCTGAGTGAGACTGTTTGGATCTTTATTCTAAAATACTAAGTGGCGTAACGTGTAATAGACAAAGGCATTATTTCCGAGTACTTTTCCTTTGTTCAGGCTACTAAGAATTGGATTAAAGAATGAAGGTCTCGCTTTGCCATGTTTTTTCTTTCTGCCACTCCCTGCCTCTAAGGTCACGGATTTGCTTTCCACCACCTGCAGTAGCCGTCTTTTGAAGCCCACCCTGGAAAACTATACGGAAAGCAGCTGGTGGGACGTTCGATCTCCGGCTGTGGAAGTCCCAAATGTTCAAACCTCATATCCAAACATGCTTCATCTTCCAGCTCCCCCTCCTCAGCGCTCCCCTACCCAACCCAGCATGACCCTCCGTTTGGGGTGTGTGTGAGGTGGTCTGCTGGAATAAAGTAAGGGGCCCCGCTCTGGCCTTGGACCATTCTCAGGAGAAAAGTCTCAGACTCTATCAACCCTTTATTCTTAGGCTTTGCCTGCGGTAGTGAGGAAAGGGTCAGGGTGCAATCTGCATTACATGTTCTTGAGGGGAAAAGGGGTCATTAGAAGCTGATAGTTCAAGGTGGAGACTAGATACATTTTTATTAATATATAAATATAAAAATGTGGTCTAGACTATACATATGTCTGTGCCATGTAGACTCATATAAAGACCATTTTCTAGTGCATTGATCAGAAAGTACTGATTCTACTGCATCAATTTTGAAATTAATCAATAAATTGTACTTTTCAGACCAAATTAAAATTCTTAAATTTGTTTAAAATGTAAACATTCATTATGTATTAAATTTCTTGTATATATTCTGGCTGCCTTAACATTTTGATTTCACTGAAATTAAAACATTAACAGAATGTAAGTTATTGATTATTGCTCTGTTAACTATGACTAACTACTATTTGATGTTCAACAAACTCTGAATTATAAGGCAGCCAGATATTTACATTTTTTAACAACAAATCTTTCACAGCAAATAATTCTGAATCGTTTTAAAATAAATACATCAAAATTGTGGTTAAATTTGAGACTTTCTGAGATTTGCATTTCCTGAAGAAGCATAGTCAAATACCATTTACACATCCATAAGAAACTGCAGTGATAGAGGCAAAAATACTGAAAAAGTGAAAGTATGCTAAAAGATAAGAGATACGGTAGTGACTCAGTTTTTCAACTTTTATTTTGTCAGTGACACCATGTGTAATCTTCACAAATATGCAACATGATTATAAAAAAAAGAAAATATGCAAATACTTTGAGGAAATGATAACGTTAGTGTCTTATATCAGGGAACTAAACACATTAAAATAAATAGAGGAAAAAAATTATATCAAGATTGTCTTTGTTTTCCTACCTGTACATTCAAATATTACCTTAACGGAAAGGTGCCACATATAGGATAAAGATATATATGCTTTAAAAAACAGCAACAGACGTCACACCGAATATAATACAACTTCTCCAAGTGCACACCAACCTAACTCTACAGTATATTACAACAGTTTTACTGTGACATATCATTAAAACCAAAAAAAAGGTTTTCATCAAAGATGAAATGTAGAGTAGTAGATGAGAAGTAATTCACTGGATTCCTCAGATGACTCTGAGCTTGCGAAAGCATGAACAAACTATATTTCCAGTAAGAGCAACCGTGAATTTATAGGGCAGGCATGGGGTTCCTTTTGAAGCAGGGGGAGAGAGAGCGCTGGGATTTGGCCTACCAGATGGATTTGATTAATGCTTCCTATGTCCACAAATGTGTTCTTTCGCTTTAACCTGAGAGATACTTTAGCATGTTTCCTATGTAAACTTCGAAAGTTGATGTTGTCCAACCGGTGGACATTTCCTAACAAGCTGCAGAAACAGAGCTGAGTCTGTCAAAGCAAACATCTTAACTGGACTGGAATTCCTAAATGTTACAAGGGTACTCTATATAAGAAACAAACAGAACATTCAAACAACAGCTTTTTGCAAACATACAGGCAGAGAAAAGTAGAAACAGGAAAAGTACAGGTAGACAGAAAACCAAGAACAAGAGAAAGGGAACCTGGAAGTGTCAGTTCTCCCTTCTTCCTTTACCTTACATACTTCTTACATTGATACACAACACTGGACATCTTTTAAAAGGAGTTTTCAAAGGCAGAGCAGTCAGTTATGAGCTGAGGGCGGTGCCCTATTGGATGAACTCTTTCAGAATGTCACACGTGTTCTTGTTGATGACCTCACGCAGTCTACGGACCCGCCGGGCGCTGAACGGGCTCACAAAGCTGTCCGGCTGCAGGACAGCCATGCCATTGTGCACGTCACCCATGACGATGATTTGGCCATCCGAGACGGTAACGTTGGGGCACGGGCAGCTCCGGCCCATGTTTTGCAGCGTCACCTCTAGCGGTTCCTTCTGGAAGAACTTCAGCCCCATCTTCTCATCCTTCAGGATCTCCTCCACAGTGATCTGGGCCCGGCCTGTGTCATCATCCTCCGTCAGCTCCATCACACGACCCAGGATCACGAAGTCGCTCTTGCAGAAGCTGGCTACCATCTTATGCCGTGGCTTGCAGGGCTTGCAGTGGTGGTTCCTGGGGAACGGGCACGAGTCCTCGCATGCTTCCCTGGTCTCAAAGTTGTTCTCGTTTCCTCCACAGCCACCGTAGACAAAGGGCTGGCACTGGCCCTGGGCAGTGCTGTAGGCCCAGCGTGGCTCATATGCCTTGCAGGGACCCTGCAGGCTGGGAAGGTTACAGGGGGCCGCCAGCTCACCTTGGCAGGACAGCATGCACAACTCAAAGGTGTCAAAGTGGTTTCGGTTCCCACCACAGTTGCCGTAGGTGAACGTGAAGCAACTGTTCCTTTTGCTGTCATAGTACCAGCTTTGCTTCTCCCCACCACAGTCTCCACTGTCAGGTACCTTCAGGCACTCTTCGGGAGGGAAACGGGTGGAGTTCTTTGTCTTCACTTTCTCAACCTCTTTTTTCTGCAGCACAGAGAGGGGGAAATGGGCTTGGATTGAACCGCCTGAGTTCGTGGCAGTGCAAGTGTAGACACCTGCATCTTCCAGTTGGGCACTGTAGATCACCAGCTGTCCAATATTGGTGACAACCACATTGCCCAGAACATGATTGGGTTTCATAATGACGTTCTCCTTTCCCTCCAGTTGCTTCTCCCAGGTTATCTCAGGCTTCGGCCAGCCATTCACCTCACAGAGGAAGCTGGCCGTCTCACCCACGTACACAGACTGTTGCATCAAGCTTCCTGCTATGACTGGGGCTTGCACATCCAGAGGAGTGGTGTGCAGCAGGGTGGTTGTCGGCAAGGCAGTGGTCCCTGGAGGCAGAGGGCTGGTGTTTGTAGGATGGGACCTGCAGGTCACTACAGATAGGGAAATACCCTTGGTGCAAGCTTCTGCATCCATGTAGCACTTGTTGTAGTAGGTCATACCGTCAGAAGCACAGGTGAAGTGGGGCTCCCTCTCACAGCGATCCCGGCACTTGCACACTGGCTGCCCATTCCAGATGTGGCACTCAGAGCCTTGCTGAGTGCACACAAACTTGTCGCAGGTCGCCTCCTTGGCCACTGGACCCTTCTTCCCTGTTGTGTCTACATAGCGGGCTGCCACACAGCTCTGGCTCCCACAGACGTTCGAGCAGCATTTTTCAAATGTTTCACATTCCTAAACAACAAAAGAGAGAACAATGCAAACATTCTACTCAATTACTTCATTCACCTTCCCATTTACCTCATCCACCTTTTAGTGGTTACTGGAGAAGGGTACCACAGGCAATAGCTGAGATATTAGACATAACTGATATATTAGTTGAGGCTACTCACCACGACTACGGCTAGGATTAGGAGTAACATCTCAATTAGTATTTGCAGAATGTGCCCTTTTCACTTTATCCATCTTGCCATGCACTTTATGCACATTTCCATTCCTATTATCTTTTCCCATATCCACCGTCCCATTTGCGCTCACTTAAAACCTTCATTCATTTTCCCTTTCTCCTCATCTACTTTCTCATTCACACTCCATACCTTCATCCATTTTTCTGTAAACTTAATCCCTTCACCCATTTTCCCATTTACTTCATTCCTTATTTCATATTGCCATTTACATCATACACCTTCCCATTCACACTCACCTTATTCCTTCATCTATCTTCCTTTCAACTTAATCTCTTCATCCACGTTCCCATTTACTTAATCCTTTCATTAATTTCCCATTTACTCAATCTCTTCATCCATTCACGTCATCCACCTTCCTATTCACACTCCCCTCATCCCTTAATTTATTTTCCTGTTAACATCATTCTCTTTCCTTTTCAAACTTACTTCATCCCTTTATCCATTTACCATTCACTTCATCCACCTTCACAGTGACACATACTTCACCCCTTCATCCACATTTCACATTCACACTGTGTGAATGTGAAGGTGGATCACTTCATCCACCTACACCCCCTTCATTCCTTCATTCATTCTCTCATTCACTACATCCACCTTCCCATTCATACTCGCTTCATCGCTTCCTCCATTTTGTCATTCACTTCATTCCTTCATCCATTTTCCCATTCACTTCATTCTCCTTCCCATTCATACTCTCTTGATAAGTTCATCCGTTTTCCCATTCATCCATCCTTCATCCATTTTCCCATTCTCTTCATCCACCTTCCTATTAACACTCCTTTCATTAATTTTCCCATTCACTTCATCTGTCTTCCTTTTCACACTCCATCCATTCCTCCTTTTTCCCCATTCACTTTATCTATGTTCCCATTCACACTCACGTATCCCTTCATCCATCCATTTATCATTCACTTCATCCATTCATCCATTTTCCCATTCTCTTCATCCACCTTCCCATTCACACTCATGTCATCCCTTCACCCATTTCCCATTCATTTCATCCCTTCACCTATTTTCTCATTCTCTTCATCCACCTTCTCATTCACATTCATTTCATCCTTTCATTTATTTTACCATTCACTTCCCCTCTCTTCCTTTTCACACTTCATCCATTCTTCCATTTTCCCATTAACTTCATCCATCTTCCCATTAACTTCATCCCTTCATCCATTTCATCACTTCATTCATTTTCCCATTCACTACACCTTTCTTCTTTTTCACACTCACTTCATCCCTTCATCCCATTTAGACTCTCTTCCTCCCTTTCTACATTCATTTAATCCCTTTATCCAATTTTCCATTCATTTTACATACAGTGCACTTTCAGTTCACTTATAATAATATTTTGTTAATGTTAACTCCAAGTTACTTCATACATTACATAGAGAAACTTCTAAGAAGTTACATGGAGAAAGGTGCGTAAACAATTCGTGCACGCGAGCTAACCACAGCGCTGGGTCAGAAATTCTCACCTGATCAGACTGACACTCCCGGGTGCAGGTGCTCATGGCGTCCACCCACAGATTGGGGTTCACGTCGTTGGGGCAGAGCCCTGAGTGAGCGTGCGCTGCGCCATGCAGAGCCATGCCTTTTACGCAGCTGTGCACGTGGAGGATCACCAGCTGCCCGACCAGAAGCCACATCCAGCGAGGCGAGAGCATCTTTTCCGCGGAGTTCACAAGCGACTCTCACTGAACAGCAGCTCTTTTCTGTGACTCAGACAGTGCGCGCTAAGAAAGGACGCGCGTAATGCTGTGCCAAGTGTCCCTCGTCTTCTCCAAAACCGCGCTGCGACCAAAGATGGACCAGTCCGTCCAGTACGAGTGTGTGGAGAAGTGAGGCAAGGTGCTGCTATTTATACCCTAGTCCTTTAAAGCTGGCTACTCGTTCCTGACCACAGGACTCGCCCTTACGCGCACATGACAGATATGCATTGCTGTGGAGTTCATGAGTGAGGTTTAAAAAGCAGCTGTCTCGAGGCTGGGCTGGTGCTGGGCTACCTGCCCCGCTTGAGCACATCCTGCAGCCCGCCTTAACCCTTCGGCTGCCGGGGAGCCGGTGACTTACTCAGTGAATGGCACAGCTGGAGGTGGGTGCGACGGCACGCTGTCAAAAACTACTCAGATTTCAAGCTCACTCGGCGCGTGCAGTTAAAGCGTAACCTTAGCTTAATATGCCAAAGACATTCGTCCGGCTCTTACACGCTTTTAAAAGAAGGTTCTTCAATGCTTTTCTAGTAAGGCAATGGTTTTGTTTAGAACAATGAATTCTATATAGAACTATTAAATGGTTCTTTGCATGGTGAAATCGTGCTTCAGATTGATGGAGAATGTGCTGTATATACTTCTATAGAACCTTTTTGAAAATGAGTCTGTGTAGCACAAAAATGGTTCTTTTATTGTTACAAGCTTGACATCATAACAACAGCAGAACCCTTTCTGGATTTTCAAAAAAGGTACAATATAAAGCCATATAAACACATTCTCCAGCAATCCGAAGAACCATTTAAGCATATTAAAATTACTATATAAATCTATATAAATAGTAATTTATCTCCAAAACTGTTGGCCACAACATGTTTTAAAAAAGGCTTTGGCCACCATCTCAAAGTCAACATTTTACTGATAAGAGGATTATTGTGGCAGAACTTGCACCCATATTTTGTGCAAAAAGAGGAAAACAGGAAACTTTTCATGTTCAGAAGAATTTGTTGCAAAGTACAAATAGTACTAACACTCCTACAAAACTAGACTTGTGAGCACTGGACTTATAAATCAACATCTGCTCTCAATAGCATCATTTGACACTGAGCAGAATGTTACTGGGCCAGTTTATAATGGTAAACCCAAGACCAAGAGCATTTACACTGCCGCTGCAATCTCCTGACTGCATAGATTTCATTAAAGCATTGCTCTTGGAATCACTGGTCTGCTTTGGGAAAATGTTTCCTGTTACATTCATAAATTATACACATTATACATTCGAGTACATGGCATATAGATGCAGTACTGTGCAAAAGTCAGAGACCACCCTGCAACAGTTAAATATAAAACCAAACTTTTTACCTTTATTTACACACTTAAAAATTGTTCTTCAAGAGTTCTTTTTCTTGAGTTTTCATTTTATATACATTATTATATTATATATAATATTATACATATTATATATATATATTTACCTCAGATGTCCAGTTTTGCTGTTCTAGCACAACTTTTCTTATTTTTTTGCTTATTTCCTTTTCTCAGTATCAGTTTCTTGACAGCTACACATCCTTTAAGACCCATAGAGTTGACTTGCCATTGTTCTGACAACACAAGCGGCTTCTTTGTTTGATTTGCTGAAGTTCTTGTTTCCTTTCCCAAGTAATGACTTCACATCTACACATCCTTTCAGACTCATAGTGTTGAGTTGGCGTCTCACAGTGGAAGGATGGACAGAAACACCTGTGAAGCAAGAGTGGAGCTTGATTTCCTCCTATTTCTTGAAGACAGCTTTAAGTGCTGTTTATCTGATGTTTTGTTGGTCTATCAGGTCTTGCACAGTTGTCCCATTGAGAAAGCAGTTAAGGTGAGTTTGTGTAGTTGCTTATGTGAATGTTTGATGGGGAACATAAAGTCTTGTATTTTGGGAGCAGCTTTTGTTGGGAGAACACAGCTGTAACTGACTGCTTTTAAGATTGGGAGGATGGAAGAGCCTAAGTGGCAGTAGAGTGCCCAAAAGTAAAGAGTGAACAATTAAAGACTGTTAGATTTGATGTTAAACTTGGTTTTTGTAGGTTTTTTAGTGTTTTAGTGTTTATGGTCATTTTCTTTAATTTGCAAGTTTTCTGTAAAATGAATAACTTGTTCTAAATGGCTGTTTTGACTGGAAAACAAAAAAATGAAAAGGATGTTCTCTGACTTTTGCACAGTACTGTATATGTGGATATACAACATCTGTGAGCATAGGTCTAATTAGTTTTATAAGAAATAAAAGCAGACCTTTGTCAGCCTACATGCAAGTGCACTTCTAAAATGCTTTTAATAATGGCTTGCCAATGAACGCATTTAAACATATATATATATATATATATATATAATATATATATATATATATATATATATATATATATATAAAGTTTGGCTGAAAGCAAATGAAAAGTGAATATGTTTTAAAGTCATCGTCTTGTAATAACTGCAGGCAGTTTATATGTCAGCAGCTGAGCAGCAGTTGTTTTGTCTGCATTGGCTTGTATATGTTCCTCCATCTCCTCAAGCACAATTCTGGAGCTCACAGAAAGCCGCGCTTTCTCAACACATAAACAACGTTAATCACTTTCACAGGACTGTAGCCTCATTAACATCAAGGCGGTTGGTGTACAATCAGAGAAAGAACACCTTAACGAATGATGAAATACACATTCTTGGAACTACTCGGTTCTTAAAGAAGCATTTCCTAATGAACTTCAGGAAAGCTTTGAACACCGGCGTGCTCTTGTGGAGTTTCACCTCATGTTACCCCTCCTCGCACAGTATAGGTTCACTTTTACAGTGCCTGTTTTTGTGCCATGGATTAACTTTCCAGTTAACGAATCGAGGAGGAGATTTATATAATTCTTGGAAACTCTTTGTCCTCGCGTACCCTCTTGGAGGAAAACAACTCGCAGTCTACACATCTGTCAAGGGTGTCAAATGAGGACAAGGAAAGATTGTAGATTACAACTCCAAATCGTAAGCTCATTATATTGCCTGTTTGTGAACAAAGTGTTTGACACTCTTATTGATTCTAAATTCAGCTGACTGACAGGTTTAGAACAGACTTTTATACTGATAAAAGTCAGGAAGGAAGCAGCTTAAATGAGAGCTGGATTGAAAGAACAGAGTGGCAAACAAACAGAGATTGGCCTTGTAATTTTCAAGTGCTTTATTACATGTATTATTTGTAATCACACCAATTAGATCAGACAGTAGCACCTTTTTAATGGCAATTTCGGTGTAGCTTAATAGTCAACTGGATTCTTAACTTACAGCTCCATCTCAAACAAAGAAAGAACCCGTATGTAAAAAAGGATCAGTAGAATACAAGGAACAATGTTGGCACATTTTAAAACATATCCAACTATTAAATGCATCCAAAAGTCTTCAAGATGTGTAAAATTAAAGGTTCGGGACACAATCCAAGCCGCTTGTGAGCATTCCTCCCCTTTTTCTGCAAGAACAGCCACCCAGCACTAAAAGCCCAGAGGCCTTCTCAGATCACTGAAGTAGGTGTTGTTAGCCCTCATGAGCTTTCATCATCTCGCTTCTGCTATGAAACGCACTAACGACATATCGTCTCTCCTGAAAGATTTTTGACAAAGCTAGATGTTTGCAGTCAACCGTCTGAAGCTGGAGAAGGTCCAAGATGAGGACAGCGCAGCCTGAGGCAGGGATAAAACTCCTTAATGGGTTTGCATCTAACTGCTGGCACACCGAGAACATACTGAAGCATCAACCAAGACATTTCAGTTCATGATTGATTACTTAAGGAGTAGCTTCGCACATTGCATTCTTTCATATCTCTTACTTTGGAGACAGATCACCTCAGCTGCCCTCCACGGAGGCAATGAATCAGCTATTTCTTGAATGAGATGTTTCATTTGGAACTGAAGTTAATAAACTGTTGTCAACCCATTAGCTTGTAGTGAAGACTGATGCAACCTGAGGCTATGAATGGGTAGACAAGAATCGGCCTATTATGTACTGAAAGTCTTAAAAAGGTATTATAAACAGGCCTTAAATAGCAAGATGGTTTTAAATAGTTCAAAGCCATATTCAAATAATTGCTACCTTTCTGCTTCTTGTAAACAAAGTCTGTGTAATTGAATGTAATTTTAAACTTGAAGTTTAGCTTTAGGGCCACACCAACTCATTTAGTGCCTAGTAGTAACAACAAAAACTTCAATTCAATTCATGCAAAAATTTCAAAGCTGTGCTCCAAATTGTTTCTCAGGTATGAATTTTTAAGGTTTACCCCATCAGGTTCTAAATCATGACTTAAACTTAGAGTTTAACTGCTTAAAAAATGACTGAACTATGATGAAAAATTAGGATAAACTAACAATAAAACATTTTACATCATGTGGTTTCATGTTAATAAATTCTCATAGCAGGTTGATTTATTGGATCTTGTGTCGTTTATGTTGGAGCAAAAAAGTTTGACATTTAATTTTCTGTCAATTTTTAAAATTATTGTTGCAAGACTTAGATCACATTATGTGTTCTTGCAATCAAACATACAAATCAAAATTTTATCTTTGCATATAATATTTAAAGATACACAATGAGTTCAAAATCTTTTTCCCAGCTCTCCGGTCATTTTACCTCTACTTTTTAAACTGATATGATCTGGCCTCTTCTGAAGAAAAACAACTTGGATCTGTCAGTATTCAGTAATTTCAGACCAATCTCAAGTAGTCCCTGAGAATATTCAAAAGTTCCTGAGAAAATTGTTTTTTAAGCAACTAAACTCCTACTTAAACTCCAGTTCCTTACTCATTTCTGGGTTTCATGAATATCATAGTACAGAGGCTGTTCTCATTATTGTGGTCAGTGACATAACACTCAGTCTTGACACCAAAAGGGTCTTGGTTCTCGTTCTTTAAGATTTGAATGCAGATTTTGACACTGTTGACCATAATATTTTACAACCTCATTTCCAAAAAAGTTGGAACGCTGTGCAAAATGTAAATAAAAACAAAATGCAATGATGTGCAAAAAAATTAAACCTTATATTTCATTGAAAATAGTACAATGACAATATATTAAATGTTGAAACTGAGAAATATTACTTATATTTTGAAAAATATTTGCCCATTTTGAATTTGATGCCAACAACACATTCAAAAGAGTTGGGACATGGCAACAAAAGGCTGGTAAAGTTGTGTAATGCTAAAAAAAACCACCTGGTGGTTGATTGCCAAAAGGTCAGTGACATGATTGGGTATAAAAAGAGG